TATATACGCCAATCGACGCATTCTAGAAAAGTCCCGTTAAATTGAAAGTTAACTAGCATCCGCGAGTGCGTAGTACCTACTTATACATAGGTCACGCGCATAAGTTCTAAAAAAGTGCAGATGTCGTGCCACAGTGCATAAGGCTTATATTAGAATGAGCCGCACCATTCGACCTTTAGAGTGAGGCCAAACGAGCGTAATTTTGTGAGTCGCAGAAATTCTGCTGCATTCGGTTTCATACAAAAAGGCAGTTGGTGCCACACGACAACGCAAAATGAGTTTTCCGCCGACTCAATGCGCATAAGATCGTCCGAATTTCGGTCGGGGTGAGGGTAGGGCAAGGAAGGGGAGGGTCTCATGTTTGTGTCTGATTTAATGATAAAAGGTTTTACGTGGTGTAATAATTCTTGAAAAACACGTAATGGCATATGATAGTACTTTTCAAACATATCTGGATTTGCACATAAACGTTCATATAAAGTATGGAACTGTCCACATATCAGCCTCTGACTATTCAGTGGGTTTACCCAGTTTCTTTTTCTGGCCTCATCTTCTGAATATGCTTCGTAAATACACAATTTTTTTAATGGATCCATTGCACTCGACGACACGAACACCCCGTACTAAAGCTCAATAGTAACTGAATAAATTACGTTCGTATGGCAGCTCAACAGAAATTCAGTTGAACGTAAAGTAAAATAAGTGACCGAAAATAAGCGACTCACAACTCACAAAATTACGCTCGTTTGGCTTCACCCTTATTACGAACATTCACGTCGAGAACCCGTTTTTTAATGCTGATGATATTGGTGTGACATAAACCGTTATTTAAAATATTGTTTAAACGCTCCAGGTAAAAATAATGCTGTTCCACCATGCGAGTTTACATTTGCACACTTAATGACCTTATTCCAGATTTATTAACATTTTACCTTGAATAAAACTAGTTTTTACGGGTTAATGCACGAAACTTTATTTATTTATTGACGTTTCGTAGCGTTTACAGGCTTCGTCGTCAGAATAAACGAAACGTCAATAAAGTTTCGTACATCACCCCTAAAAACTAGTTTTATTTAATGAGTGATGTGCGTGAAAACCTAAGAAACAAATATTTTACCTTGATCTTTTATTGAAATAAAAATATTTATACTATATGCAATAAAATTGTACAAGCGACATTTACGAAAATTACTTCATCAGTTCGTAAATTTCTAAATAAGAAAACGATCAAACTACTAGGCTAGTAGGCATATTCAAAGAAATCTAATATTAATCTGAGCAGATTCCATTACAAATATTTTAGCAGGACCTTAAGCTAGATAACTTATCTATATAACCGAAATTACTAATCAAATAAGATTTATTTAAGGTTTCAAATAAACTATAGATCTGGCATTGTGTTTTTCCTGTAAATATGCTACAATACAAAATATTTATACTTACTAACCCATACTAACCTTATTCAGACGAGGTGACGGAAGAGCGAAGTAAGTACAAAGCGATCGCGGAAGAGGTGGATCAAACGTTCGCTGACCTCTCTGGATACTAAACAAGATGGCGGCCGCCGCCATTTTGTGAGCAAGCGAATGGCAGTGAGTGGGAGTGGAGCAGCTGAACGGCGGGCTACGACATCGTGTCCAAGGAAATTTTACTTTGTTTTTTATTACTAACGCTCATAAAAATTTAATTTAAATATCGAACATAATATTAAATGAATATTTTTGGTTGAAATGAAATACAAGGTCCTTTCAGTATATTTATAACAAAAGCGGATGTACTAGTGTTCCTAATCGAACTATTAAGTACTTACGTTATTGTAACAGAGTTGCACAAGTTTTAAGCGATGTTGTAGCGAAAGATTTCACGTTCAGCTGGCTGGGTGTTCTTTGCTTGGGTATCGAAACTAGTTTGCATAGCACAGCTGTGAGCTTTGAACGACTTATCTACAAATTTACTCATCTGTGAGTCCAAAAAAAAACGATACTTAAACAAACATATTAAAGAATTAAATTTGTGAATTTAAATTATTCATCGTCTATTATTTAAGTTAACTCGAAGCAGTAACATTTCCAAAGTCGAAAGTACTTTAAGTGTATAGAAACGATTTGTCTGATGATGAAGTCACTACAAGTTTTCATTTGTAACAGAAATAACATAATTTTTGAAAGTTGTACAAAAATTTGTAATAAAATTAACAAGCATAGAGTGGAATTAGTTGTTTGTTATATAAATTGAATAAAAGATAAAAAATATTGCGCGCTATGTAAATCTACAAATTTATATTGATGTAGTTTTCAATAGCGTATGCGAGTTTGTCTCTCCTATTTCTGCTAACATTGAAATAAATGTAAAGAAAAAATACAAATATCAGTTAAATATAAGTACTAAAGTATTGATCACTTCATTTAAGTACTTATATAATAAGTTAATTTTTGAAGTACACATAAATAAACGTTTTCAATATTGTAAAACCGGTTACTTGAAACTACACAAAATTTTGTTTGAAAAGTAAAAATGCTGGACGATTAAATATGAACCTGACTCGATTAAGCAAAATCGAGCATAACACTTGAAAGCATTATAACTATATTAACTATATATCTTTTCAACATATTTCTTAGGAAAAATTATTTTGTTCTGTCTGTGTATTCTGTAAGAACAAATTCAATTTCCACCGTGGTATTCGCCGGTGGGATTTTAAATGAAATTAAAATTCGAGTTCAAATTTTAAATCAGAGCGCGGATTTCGGGGTGAAAAATGAATTTGTGTTTACAGAATAGTACTGCTGGTCTGAGTATCTATCAATATTTGTTCACTTATAAATTTATCAGGGAGTGCTTGGTTTATATGTCATTTTGTAAATATTGGAATGTCTGTTCAAACGCTGCATAAGTGAAAAATAAAATTGATCATTAGACAGGATAGTTGAGCTCGCTTTGAATAACCCTGGATGCTTGTCTGTACACTCGAACACTGCCGACGTTGTCAGTTTTAATACGCCTCCTTATCTACTTACATCATTTATTTTTTATTGAATTATGTTTCAATTGTTTGACTACGATCTTATGAATGATGTAAACGAGTCTTTTTTAGTAATTATTACGATAAGTTTTGTACTTGTTTAGCGGTAGTTTTTGTATTTATCTACTAAGTAAGCTTTTACATTCCAGCCTCCGAGCTTTTTTTCAAATAGCTTAACCTCTGAACTGTACCTACTACGCGCTGACTCTTTGACTGTAATAAAGTTCATTTATACATCTGTTTGTTTTGATTTACTGGCAAGTGGTTGAAATACTAATCCTGAGTTAATTACAAGTAGGTAAGTGCAATTTTACCTCAACCTGAATTGTAGTATGAATTGAAATGTAGTCTTAAACCATAAAACAGAAGTTTTGTCATTTATAATTGTATTGAACCGAGATAAGTAGATGTTTATTTTGAGCATTCTGTAGGTACTCTCCTATAAGTAATGGGACACTGTAATTTGAGCAATTATTTTTAATAATATTATTTAACTTACTACTTCCTTATTAAACATTTTTGTGGGAATATTATTTCTTTATATAATAATAGAGGGAGAAAAAATTGCCCATGCTAAGTTTCATGCCGGTTCTACTCAGTAGGGGTGACAAGGTCTCGCGCCGTAGATTTGCAAACCGATGGCGTAATGACTTTTATAAGAGTTTGTAAAAGAGCGCGATAAAATAGGGTCCTATATAAATTAATACTATTTACGCTATTAATGGAACAGTAAAATAAATTATGGTATTCCACCTAACAGAAATAAAGAGAGGTAGGGATTGGCATGAATTGGAGCGCCCGTACTTGGACAAGAAAAGTTTACCTTTCAGTTTATTGATCACAGTGAAATACCACAACCTTTTGGTAGTGATATGATTTTGTCTGTAAGTAAGGTTTCCAGGGCTCCACTAGGTCGCGGCACGTAACTCTAGCGCTAAACAAAACGCGGAGGGTAGCTGCGCATGAGTATGACTGGTACGACTGGAGAGCCAATCGGCGCAACGCACGCCCACCCGCGCACCTCGTTTCCCCCCAAGACATATTAATTTTTACTTCTGCGCAATAACGGTCAGTGCTAGAGTTTCGTGCTGCGACTTATATGGGTCAGGGTAGGTAACGTGATCGTGAGGTAGCCTGGCTAAAGTCGGGCCAGCCGGTTGCGGCCTGGTTGAGTCCCAATAAGGATCCCACGCCTCCATCGCTGGCAAGGAGGGCACATCCCGGAGTTTTAGTGGGTACGGCCTCCTTATCCTGAGCAGACGCTGAGCCTGCCCAATGGGTTGGCTGAGTGGGTGGGCGGAAGGCGGGGGAGGAGTCCCACATAACCCCGACGCCTGCCTAGTGGCGCGGTATGCGTCACACATTTCACCGGGTCAAAAAAAAAGGGTAGGTAACGGGCGAGTGATAGGGCGACAACCGGTACCTTAAAGGCAACTTGACGCAACAGTTTACACAGTGGTAACTAGTGTTGGGTAGGACACGACTTGAAAAAGAGTTTGTAAGAGTAGCCTCTTTTCTGTACTGAACCAGTACAATGTCCCACTTCAAATGAGGCGAGGGGTACTGAAGCTCGGCAATACATTTGAAGTGACGAGTACAAATATGACATTGAGGCGTACAGAAGCTCGACATTACGTTTGTGTGCATGAGTAGCACCTCCTCTACGCACTATCAATATTGCTGGATCCAGCATGCAGGACAGCGCTATCCACGTAAAACAGATAGAGATACAGATGGATAGTGCGTAGAGGACTTAAATGAAATGTCATGCCTCGCTCTCTCTCTCAGACTTACGAAGAGTGAGTGAGTAACGAGACGCGACTATCGCGACATTTAATGTGAAGTAGTACATTTTAAAATTTTGAGCCACTCTTACAATTTGGCGTCATGTCCGGGACAAATGTACCGCCTCTTGTAAGTGCTACTCAACACTAGTGGTAACTGCTAGCGAGGAAGTCCACTTTTAAAAGAAGACGGTTTAAATTTGTATAGAGGTTGATGCTTTAAAACAAAAAAAAACAATAAACGTTGCCATTTGCCAATCAATAATTATATAATTTTATATTGTAAACCATTGTAAACATTATTTAAAAAAAAACGGGGATAATTGTAAATACTACTTTTTGGGTAAACAATTAACAATTTAGTGCACTAAATCACATAAAAAATTGTAGTCTGCCGGAGACAGACTATCACATTTTAACCATTCCCTTTTATTACTTATGCTTGCAAGTTTAGACTGCAAGCATAAAAAAATGGAGAAGTAGCACGCAATGACCATATTTGAGTGTTACACTTAAAATATAGAGCAAGGTTCGCAAACTGCAACACTTGCAGAAGTTACCTTGCCACATCTATTTACACAGTTCTAAAAGAGGTTGCGGAAGGCAACTTCTGCAAGTTTTATTGCTAGTGTACATCTCGCTGATAGATCCCAGGTGGCCGTGCCCTAATGGTTTGTTAGGAAGTGGGAAATCATCATCAGCCTATCAATGTATGGAATAGGGAGATGGAGCTATGACCCACCACGCAGCCCCAGTGCGGATTTGTAGGTGCTCACAGCAGCAGATGCAGCAGGGACCAATGGCGTAACGAGCGTTCTGAAGCACAGAGGAGCACGAGATAATAAGTTGTTGGTAGCCAACCAATGACCAACCATTGTGAAGGTTGCTTAACATCTACGATCGCAAGCCGAATGTGCAGACCACCTGCGCTACCGAGCTCCTCCAGGCAGGCAGTGGGACAAAATCAAACAGTTGTAGTAATTAGTACATAATTAAACAAAACAGCTCGATGGTGGTCTGATCGCTCGTTCTACGATTGTGGATCTTTTGAGCTTGTCTTGGATGGGTGACTAGAAACTTATTATTTCGAACTTCCCTATGCTTCGGAAGGCCGTCAGTTCTGGTAGTTAGCACCAATAAAAACTGAATTACGTAATGGTTTAGGGTCTTGAAACAAAGATTATGTCCATAAGGATTAGTTAAAGTTTGTGCTCCAGCAGCAGCGGCTACTAATGATTGAAAGAGATTGAAACATGAATGAAAGAAAGAGATAAGATGAGGAATTCCCATACTTTCATCCTTTAATCAAAAGACCCATTCAAAAGCTCTTTGATTCGCTACCATTATTAATAGCTAATTTCCTCTTAAGATTCAGATAAAAGATGCGTTATTATGTAGAGTGGGTAGTGAGATTCATCCTCCCCTTTCCGGCATCGCCACACAGGACATCGTGTTCAACGACTGATGACTCCTGAAATTGCTTGTGCGGATGATTTGATTGGCTTGGATGATTAACTTGCGAATCCGCGCGTGTGGGAGCGTGACGACGACGTCGCGGCGCGTTCGTTAGCGATCACTGTGGATTGGAATCCTGGATTTTGGCACCGAAAATAGTCGGGCGGGCGCGCGGCGCGCCATCGAGGGCGGCGGCGCAGTGCGAGACGCTCCGCCGAGTGAACAGCCCGCTCGTGAGGTGAGTGCGCCCGCGCTGCCAGCTAGCATACCCGGTACCGACCAGCCTGTGACAGTGTGTGACGCAAGTACTCGTGCTGTGCCGCTTGCGACCTTACGGAAACCCCAGTGTTAACGTTACTTACAGTGGTATTTCAGCTTTAACTACTCGTGTTCGGAGGATATCGGAAATCTTTTAGTAGGTTAAGAATGGATTGTTTTTAAAGCGGTTGTGTGTGGAAACGAAAGAGCTTATGATGGTGGAAATTCGCGTTGCGCCCGCTGCGGCGCTTTTCATGTGACTCGAATTTCAGCGCGCGCGCGGCCTCGCTGAAAATAGTGGTGTGCCGCCGCCGCCCGCCCGCCCCCGCCGTCGCGCGCGCTTCTAACCTATTTGCGGCATGCCCGAGCATCAGTATTTATTTAGCGAGATGAGGAAACACCGTTCACTTTTTTATAGACACAGACGTGGCCCATATATCATATAATTAGAGCGCCACGGTTACATACACTTTGAGCATGATCTATTTTGGATAATTAAGTATCACAGAATTGGCACATGTTGCACATTTTTTGATTGTATGAAATAAGTTACTTTTGATGTATGTCTTAACATAGGTAGTTGTTTTGTTACCAAAAATACCCATTGACGAATCGAACAAAAGTTATTACAAATTCCACATTTAACGCTTATTTATGACCATAAATACATACGTTATCAATAATCATAAATAATATAAAATGTTACCACATCTTTTCTTCACATACATGATCTCATAACTTTACTTTTCAACTTGATTTCTTACATCGAAAGTTTGTCAGAAATACATTATTCGTAATTACACTTAATTAACTTATCCTATGGTTGATAGTCAATAACCATGCCGAGAAACACAGAGAATCACTGTCTCATGAATCCATACAAAAGTTTTCTTAGCCTTTATTTTGCATGATTGAAATTTATTATTGTCCATATCTTTTCTGGAGGGAACAACATTAGTAAAGTACAATATTTTTTAAAAAAGTTCACTGAAATACTATGAATAATATACATTTATATAAATGAAAGCAATCTTGCAATGGTTTTTTTAAAAGGAATTTGAAAATGTGAAAGCTTTAAGTTATGACAAGGTAACCAGCCTATCCGTTCAACTTGGAATGTTGGCACCACTTCAAAGAATCGTTGTTAGAGTACCTACTCTGAGATTTTAACAAACACTTTTTTTTGGGATACTACTGTAGATACTACCTATCCACACCATGATATTTATGCCTTTTTTTGAGGAAAATAAATAATTATGATCGTTTCACAAACCATGTCCAACTTTTTATTTTTATTAAACTTAACACATAAATATTTCAAGACAAACTGTAAAATTGACTAGTTTTTGTTAAAACTTAACAAACTTGAGGTTTGTTATATTCTTCTATCCATTCGCAAGATGATTCATGAGTAATTAATTGAGTTTTCGATTTTGATCTGACCAATCTTATTTCAGAGCACATAATTTCTTCTTAATCATAAGCAGCTCCTATTTTGCAAATGGATATTCATTTGCAAAATAGGAGCTGATAAGGTTCAATAGAATCCATTGGGTGTGCCTAATAATTTTTTTGATTTTTACCCAATTATGTTTAATAAATGAAGTTTATTATTAACAAGCAACAAAAAAAATAAAGTTTCAGCTATTAAACACGATTTTAATAGGTGCATTTCTTCAATGACTATAATTCCTTAAACATAAAAAAATAACTTTTATAATAATTTATTATTAATTTATTTACTTAATAGTAAATGTTGATAGATTTTATTTTCATTTAACATCGATTATTTTTTTAATATTCGACATACTCTTTAATTTAAAACATGTCTCCAAAATAAATCGGAAATAGGTAATTTAAATCAATAAGAAAATCAGTTTTTAATTTTTATGAAGCTTATTTTTATGAAAGTTTCATTACGTTAATTTAACAATCCCTTAAAGGATTTCAATAAACTCATGATGATTCAACTCGAAAGTCTCATTTTAAATATAGTTTCGTAACGCGATACCGTAACATGTTACCAAATACGCTGAGAGCAAATCACTTGCTACTCGGGTAGGTATTCACATGGAGTCCGGTCTAATCTGCTGAAATATTCTGTTACACGCACACACTTGCACAGCTGTTACCATCTCCGAAATCGGTTTTATTTCTGTGAACAATATCAGCGAGCTTGACAGACTGCCAGGAATACCTGTGACGTCACAGGTCCGATATTTTCGCTCCAGCCAAAGATTGCACACTTTCCCATTCAACTACGTAAAGATATAAAGCCTCCCGGAATCATCAGTTTGTAGCTTACATAGCATTATGTTTTTAATGAAAGTTTTAAAAGTATGTTTAGTGCATTTAAATTATTTGAATATTTATGTTTGAAGATATAAAATAGTCTTAAATAGGTATTATGTTTACTTCTACATATTTAAGACATCAGTACGTTAAATACAATTTTATTGATATTTAATTAGTATGTTTAAATAATATACAAATTGTTTTGGGAAAAAGAAGACAATAGTAAATATTTTTCGAAAAATAATATTCACGTTAAAAAGTTTGTGTTTTACACGTAAAACGTGAAATCTACTTCCTTTAGAATTATAACGATTAAGTAATATCAATGTCAGTGTAAGATTTATGAAAAATCTAATCATCTATAAAATGAATTAAGAAAATATACCTATCATCACATCAAATATCGCTACTTTATGATAGACTAACAGCGTCTCCGCAATAAGGTAATATATTAATAGGGGAGGCGGGCAATGTTTTTTTCATACAAATGTTCTCGACTGATTTCTCCTTGATTTTTATCACGAAAGAAATGAATTTCATACATGAAATATAATTTTACTGACTCTATGGTTCTGTCTTCCTTTTTTAGATAACCAGTGTTTCAAAAAAGCTAGAAGAACTCAAAAATGTCATAAATAAACAAATTTTTATTGCCACTAAAAACATCTAGTGTGAAGATTCAATAAACATTTACCAAAATAGCAAACATAGAGGCCTTATATAACTACTTATTTGTAAAATGTGTTTTACATGTATCTAAATTTCGAGGAAATCGATGTGAGCCAAATCTTGAAATTTGCAATTTTATACGCAATTTTCACCATTCAATATTTTTATAGCACGGTACTTGCCAATACAGTAACAGTTGATTCAAATACCTATTTCTCAAATGTCTCTCAGCTCGCGTCCGCTCTTAAAACAAAACGTTAGAAAACGATGACTGTTGCTTCCATACGTCATCGTCTTCTCTACTTGTCTATTATCGATATCAAACTTGACATTATATCTTTATATATATAATTCTTCTGTGAGTGTGTATGTCACTGAACTTCTCTTAAACGACTGGACCGATTTTGATGAAATTTTTTGTGTGTGTTCAAGGGGATCTGAGAATGGTTTAGATTCACAATTTTGTCCGCTGGACAACCCCTATTTTTTTAGGGCGGTACGAAGTTCGCTGGGTCAGCTAGTATTATATAAATTACAAAGTTATTTTTATGTTTTTACGCAATTTGAACGTGTAAACAAACGTCTTCCTACGCTCTAACGACGCTCTCATCGCTAGAATCACCACCCATAATTATGTTGCAGTATAGCCAGCGAAACCATTTCTCATACAAAATTATAATCTTTATGTCGTTACAACGCTTAATAACACAGTGTTTCGGGAGCATTTTTTACCAATGTGTTTATTTTTATATGAACAGTGTTATTACATCGATTGAGTCCTGATTCTGTGATGTCGGACTGCTATGAATTTTAAATGAACTTTTAATAAGGCAATGATAAGAAAATAGATATCCATGGATTTTCCATGCGAGTACGTTTCTTTACTCATGTGGCGCCAGTGTCGGCATCGCGTGGTAGAGACAGGAACGCCAAACAGTGGCTTTGATTTTGGAGTTGAATTTAGAGGCCCATTAAAAAATACTAGCTGAAAACATTTAAAAAACTACTTTCCTTAAACATATTTTCCGGAGTAAGGAAGTATCGGGTTAAGGATCCAACATTAAAGTTTTGAAATAGTGTTTGTTTTCAGTCTAGGGCATATATCAAAATAAATGTTTATCTTACTAAACAAAAAGAAACACCGAATGCATTAGCGTAAATGGTGAAAAATTATTATCAATGAATGAGCGAGGCTAGTTCGGAACTGTTGTAGGCGTTATCCTGGCAAAAGTTCTTTTTTTTAAGACACGACTAAGACTGAAACGATATTTAAATACATGAAAATGAGCCACTGCCATGGTAATAATATTTTTAGAATATTTTTTCTCAAATGTCACAAGAACGTTTTATATATGTATGCTCATGTATCGCCGCTTCTAAATTTCATTTTGATTTCATCATTTGCAGTTTATTATAATTTTTTAAGCATTATCTGCTCCATTTATAAATCTAAAGAATATTATTAAACTAGAAAATAATCAACTCCGCCATATCATGGGTCAGTCCTGCCTTGGGTTCAGGCCGGCAATGTGAGGATGGCTGGAGCGGCACACCTGCTGCCGCATCATCTATGTTTACGACTGGACCCCGCTTACACTTAACATCAGGTGGGGTGAGGCAATTTATTTCGCATCGTTTATTAAAAAAAAACTCTGAAGCCTTGAACGAGTTGAATGTTTTCTAGTAAAAAAATCTGTATAATTATAATTTTATTAATAACTATAATTGCTATTTCTTCTTTCAAATGTTTAATACTTGTAAAGTATTCATTTGACATTGTGGGTTACCTACGATGCGAAGAGATGGCGTTGCCTTGCAGCTTAAGAATGGCTAGAAGAATTTCGACGCGGCCATCAGGGCCTCGATAGCATAATTGGTATTCGCCCGGATAGCGAAGGGTGCGAGTCCCGTCTGCTGCCTGGTCCGCGTGGAATTTCTTCTAGTTATATTTACTTTAAATCTTTATAAGTTCTCTTTTATAAAGTCACATTCTCTTAAAATTTTAACTCTTCATATGTTACGATTTATGAGATAGTCACTGACAAACGGACGGACAGCGAAGTCTTACTGATAGTAATGGTTCTTAGTAAAAAGAAAATAGTTAAGTCGAAAACAAACTGCAAAATATTCATTGCTATGCAGACGATAATACAGTTCATGCCGCATATTTGGGACACGCAGCGGCTGGACAGGTACAAACCAAGGACAAACGGGAGAATCTTGGCATTGAACTTAATCAATCTATGGACATTCTGTAAAAACGTGGCCATTCCTTCCACTTCCTTTTTTTCTTGCTTAACTTTATCACCATGCTCGGTATGGAAATTAGCTGTTACTTAAATCCAAAGAACTACATCGAGAGCATAATAAAACCGGTCGTTCACAAACTTGGAGTCCTGAATAAGGTGCAGCCATTTTTCACGCCCAGGAAACTGTTCTTGTTGTACAAGATTTTTGAATACAGCGTGGCGCGAAGGATTCCAGAGTAGAAAAAAGTACGTCGCTCGCGCTTTAAAATAGAATTACTCCCGAGGTGGACACTACTTTTTATCATACACTATGAGAAAATAACTATAAAAAATAAGGAATTTAAAGATTCGTCGACATCGACAACCACATTCATCGAAGTTCGCCGGGTGTGCTAGTTTAATAATTTATTAAATAAAAACAATAAATCCGAATTTGAGTAAACACATAAATATTTTCAAAACATTTTGAACATAGTTCACATAGATTTCAGCTCGTTCTCGAGGCTGCTGATTGATGCAGCTAGGTATTAATGTTATGTGCAAATATTTTAACGGGAAATGACAGTAATATATTAAGAATGAAGATCCGCAGATTGTGCCCACAGGCGCGGCGTGGTAGGGACATAATTAGGTTCGGATATAATTTAGTATCGGGGACGCGGACCAAATAATTATTATGCAGCAACACATCTGCTGCTAACTAACTGGCTCCCGGCCAATAACTGCTGTATGTATCAAATGAAATCCTAATGATTTCTATCAATATTATTTTAAATTGCAGTTGATTTATTTTTCATTTCAATGGACATTTGTGAACGTCTACCTCATTAAAAATTGAAATGAGGTAGACTCATCTGGCTTACTTTTTCTAAAGGTAAGAAGTACCTTTCACAACATATTGTCAGCTATATAATCCAATACGATCTTCGACACTGAAAAACAAAAATCTCATTCAATCTAATTGTAGGAACTAGCTCATCATCATCATCATCAGCCTATTAATGTCCCCACTGCTGGGGCACAGGCCTTCCCTATGGATGGAATAGGGAGATTGGGCCATGACCCACCACGCGGGCCCAGTGCGGATTGGTAGGTGCTAACGACTGCAGATGCAGCCGGGACCAACGGCTTAACGTGCCTTCCGAAGCACGGAGGAGCTCATGTTATTAAATTTATGGTCACCCATCCAATGACCGACCACTGCGAAAGTTGCTTAACTTCAACGATCGCAGCCGAACGCGCTAACCACTTGCGCCATCGAGCTCCTCAGGAACTAGCTCATGATATCACAATTTTAACCAATTACACCTCACGTCATATTTATGGCGTGCAGTTTTTAAGATGGTGATAAATTATCCTACTATCATATTATAAACGTGAATGTTTCTGTGTTTGTTACTCAATTAAGCAAAAACGGCTGGACGGATTAAAATAAAATTTGGCAGAAATAGTTTATTACCTGGATTGAGACATACATTTTATTCCGAAAAATGTTAGGTTCCTGGGGGATTAAAAACAAACTAAATTTTACGCGGATGAATTAGCGAGCGACCGCTAGTCATATATTCTAAATTGATGCATTAGAATGCATCAATTTAGAATATATGACTAGCATTTGTCATGGAGCTTTCTAAAGCTCCATGACAAAATGAAACTTATTTTCAAGATTCTCAAGAGGTACGACTCGATTAATTAAGTTTAATTACTAAAGTACTACGGTGAAGCTAGGCTTGAACATCTGAGTGAACACGAGACGTTTGCCGTGTCTTATCTCCCTCGGGAAACTCACAAATTGCTTTCCACTCTTCCAGCCATCACAAGCTCCGGTAAACTGCGCGATATAGCTTAGGAAACTTTTTATGAGTGTCTCCAGATAATAATCTAATATTAAAACATAAATTGCGTAATCCATATCAATATGTGTCAAATAGAATACACAGTCCTTTTAGGGAAATTATGAAACAAAAATATATTGAATTTTTATCCTCTGAACACTGTAGTACTCGAGTTGAAATACGTAGTCAATTTTGTGGTTCAGCAAACTATTATCTCAAAATTAAAAAAATATTAGATGTACAAGAATCGAACCCAAGACCATAATCTAAAAGAGAATCACCCAGAAATCCTAAGTCCTTCTAAAATATCATTACAGCGTCACCATCACTGTCAACGATACAAGTTATGACAATTAACAAGGATAATCATTAACATAAGTGCTCTAAACTATTTTTCTCTGTCAACAGGCCAGTAACTGGCGTATTTTTCAACCGGACCGTAGAAACAAACAACCGCCACCATGGACGCGATCAAGAAGAAGATGCAGGCGATGAAGCTGGAGAAGGACAATGCCATGGACAAGGCAGATACCTGCGAACAGCAGGCCAGAGACGCCAACCTCCGCGCCGAGAAGGTAAACCAAAGCACACTTCCTCACATTTTTATTCCACTCCTGTTGAAAGTACCTCTTATCTTCATTTTACCTCTCTAGGGCTTACTGCATTAAATTCACTTTCGCATGTTTTATGTTAATAGGGTGGCAAACAAGCATATTATCCGCCTAATGTTAAGAAGCCTTTAGACGCTTGTGACACTGCACATTATCTGCCACTGCGCGCTTAACCTTTCCCTATTCTCAACCCCGTGGAATCCTGAAACCTTACTTTCTCTCAGAAATACAACACCGCAAAGAGTTACACTATTATTTCACTTTGGTCTTCTCTATGGTGGTGGTATGCCATATAGCCATAAGCTTATATTTAGAGTTCTAGTCGACGTTTCTACAGCTACTCCTTTGGTCCCTACTATTCTGCTTTACTGGTCATTGATTCTGCAGCTCATGAAACCTACTCAATTTCATATTTGATCCTTAATAGTACAATATATATATATCAGAACTACTTCTCGTTAGCAGATGAAAATTATCGTTTTTCAGTAAATCGTCAATACTTGTCCTAAAAGCGTGTCAATATTAAATGACGTACATGTATCAGTTTTTTGTAACAGTAAAATGCTAATTCTTCCAGGTAAACGAGGAAGTCCGTGAACTCCAGAAGAAGCTCGCACAAGTGGAGGAGGATCTCGTCGTGAACAAGAACAAGCTGGAGCAAGCCAACAAAGACTTGGAGGAGAAGGAGAAGACGCTGACCGCCACCGAGGCGGAGGTGGCCGCCCTCAACAGGAAGGTGCAGCAGATTGAGGAGGACCTCGAGAAGTCCGAGGAGAGGTCTGGCACCGCCCAGCAAAAACTGCTCGAGGCCCAGCAGTCCGCTGATGAGAACAACCGGTAAGCATACCTTGAAAAGTAGTCTAAGTAGCATTATAATAAAGTAATAGTATAAGTTCCAGATAAGCAAGGACTGTATTCTTAAAAGCTGTGTATCACGAACTCATATCGTGCCCTACTCTATTGCATAAAAAATATGTAAGTTTAAGTAAGATGGACGTCGATGACGATCACGATTTAATGGAATTCAATTTTAACAGTACGTTCAACGGAATTAATGTTGGACTCATTCCCCGTGTATGAAATAACATGTTTATCTCATAAAAGACTATAATCAAATAACATTCGCAGCCGGATTCCACGCAGTGTTATCAGCAGGTTGCGGTACATTAATTTGTTAGACTATGTCTGAAACAATATTAAAGCAAAACCACTTGTGGTCCTATGGAAATTAGAAGCGTGGAATGTACATACCACAATAATTCAAGTTAGGACTTTGCTACTGCTGAATAATCTTGTAAACTTATTTTGTATTTGTCTTCAGTATGTGCAAAGTACTGGAGAACAGGGCGCAGCAGGATGAGGAGCGCATGGACCAGCTCACCAACCAGCTGAAGGAGGCCCGTTTGCTCGCTGAGGACGCTGATGGCAAATCCGATGAGGTGACCATCAAATGAACTGTCAAATTCTTGTCTAAGATACTGCTTAAAGAAAATCTAGGCGCTAAACAAGCCAGAGCGTGCACTTGCAGTGGCTAACTCCAACTGTATACAATACTTCTTCGTTCACTGGTTTAGTAGAAAAGCGAGTAACTTGGTTCTTTGAACCAAGCGATACCCGTTGGAGTTCACCTAGCATGGTTATGGTATGCATTATTGGTACTTAGTTAATTTATCTGCCATGGACTTTATTTTCAGGAGAATTTGAACTTATTCTCATATAAACTATTGTAATGTAAAGAATGTCCCAATTTAGGATGTGCATAAATTTTTACACTTTTTTACAGTCGTGTAAAAACATTCGCACTTGATCGGCATAATTTATCAAAATTTATTGTACAGTTGTTTGTTTTCCTAAATAAACTAAAAAAAAAAATATATATTCTCGTGTGGATGAAAATTTCATTTTTCTTGTCAAATATTTCAAAACTACTTACTTAATAATAAATGAAATAATTTATTAACTTTATCCACGGTGTCACAGGTTTCACGCAAGCTGGCCTTTGTTGAAGACGAGCTCGAAGTAGCTGAGGACCGTGTCAAGTCTGGTGACGCCAAAATCTCAGAACTTGAGGAGGAATTAAAGGTACTTACATTATATTACCAATTCTTAACTTTTACGATTCGTTTGGACCATGAACTTACAAGTATAGTCGTAAAATAAAGTGGTTATTTACATTTAGAGAAATGCAAACATCTTCATGCAAATATCAACATTCATTTGATTGGTCTAAATAGGTCTGAAATTATAAATGTTTCAGGGCTCTATTTGATTTGAGCTCTAAGATTAATTCTATTAGCGATGTCAATATAACTAAACATCATTTACCAGGTCGTAGGTAACTCCTTAAAATCCCTGGAAGTGTCCGAGGAGAAGGCAAACCAGCGCGTGGAGGAGTTCAAGAAACAGCTGAAGACCCTCACCAGCAAGCTGAAGGAGGCGGAGGCGCGTGCCGAGTTCGCAGAGAAGACCGTCAAGAAACTGCAAAAGGAAGTCGACAGGCTCGAAGGTACTGTCATTACACCACCATTAACCACTTATAATAACGCTAATCTTTAATAAAAAATGAAGCTTTTACTCGTAATTTTACAATTAATCCAAACAAAAGACAGCATTTTAAGCGATTGCGATAATAAAATAATAACTTTAACCACAACGAGAATTGTATTACTTCTCTTATGATTAAAATGGCAAGGCTTATTTATTAAAAACACTTATTTTATCTCAATAAAGATCTTTATAGGTTGACAATCTCATCGCTCTACGGCTTACCTAACTGAATTGACGCATTTTACAGACGCATTGTTCAACGAGAAGGAGAAATACAAGGCCATATGCGATGACTTGGACGGCACATTCGCTGAGCTCACGGGATACTAACCAACCCTTATAGCACTTAGTTTAAGACAGTACCGTCCGACACACTACCCTCTACCTAGCCTAAATCGTGTAGGCAACCCGACAACATCTGGATCACCATTCGTACCCAATTCTGCGAGACCACATTTAGTAGTTGTTCTATACAGATTCTCCAGTTCATCTGTAGAGCGTTTTAAATTTCTTATCTTACTAACATTGTCCTAACCCTTGGAACGATCTCTGTGGGACTGTTGTAGTTTAAACGACAGACTCGACACTCCCTCAGAGGGCGCCGTTTACAAATGCCCCGCTTTACGTGTTGTGATTAACTTGTCTAATGCTTTGCTGCTACCGTCGCGGAACAATGCTTTAAAAGGTACTTTATCTTTCTATAATCAATAAAAATTCTTTATTTTTAAGCATCATGATTTAAAGCTACCCGCTTGCGCTATAAAATGAAAAGATATTAAATTTTTTACTCTAAACATTTTTATTGAACTATTTTTAGTACTGAATGAAATAAAATATCTTCAAACAATTTATTATCAATAAATTCTTTAGTAGATATTGAGGTTTGCTCTGTTTACTTATCTACGACTGAAGTTTTAGTCTATTTTGAGACCAGCAAGTCTTTTCAAAAATATTTTCCTTGGATTGTCTATACATATTTGTAGTACCAAATTCTGTTTCCATTACACACAAAATTGTTGGAGATAGTTGATTTAACCTGTAATTATAGGGGTCTTCCCACAAACTTTTTAATCTTACTTATATTTTCGGAAAAAACAATAATGAATCTTATTCAGTCAACATATTAGTAACATTTTGATCACACTAAAATGGTTGTAATATTAAAATATCGCGTGCAATAACCACTCCGAACTCCGAAGTAAGTTCACAGGTTCAGACTTATTTTCTCGTCTACGGAGTTTATCAATTTAAAGAGCGTTCCGAAATAATCTGAAACTTCGTTAGCTTTCTCTATAAGTACCTAAATTTTGAAAAGAGTAGACCAGTCCGACATTCCAAGATATAAAGTCTAATGACGTTTTGTGTGTTTAGATGAGTTGGGCATCAACAAGGACCGGTACAAGAGCTTGGCCGACGAGATGGACTCCACCTTCGCCGAGTTGGCTGGATACTAGATATCGCACTCCACACAATACTCAACACACAAACAAACAAACACACATACATACATTCTGGCGCGACCACCACCGCGCCCCAGTCACATATACATACACTCACACACAAGTTCGTACGTGATGTAATAATATTTATTAATATTTTATGTAAATTTATTTACGATTTTCAATAAAATTAATTTATAACTGTTGAAGTTTTCTTTGTAGTCTGATGTTTTCCGCGTTCGAGCTAGCTCTACGAAGTATTTGAAAGTTTAAGAAAAACAGGTTACTACTTAAAGTAGCTAGTCAACGGAAGCATTTCATTGTTTCCTACTTGTCACACAAACGAAATACCTACATAAAGGATATAGTATATCTGCTTACTTATATTGAATTATAAGCTTTTAAAAGATGACTCACGCTAGTCTATAAACAATTCACTCGGTTACCACTTGGTATAGCCTGAATGAGTCCCTATAAAATGAATATCATATTATTTAAACGTGCGACCAGTGGGGGTCAATCTGTAAAATTTTCACGCGCGTATCCTATGTGGATTGCTGCTGTGCGATGGCCGAAAAGGCCCGAATCCGGCACGGTCGACACCCGACCCGGACTCGGCACGGGGTAGCGTAAGTCATCCCTTAAGTAACATAATATAAAATATGAACACATACGATTGTAACAATTTGATTGAAATGTGGTGGTCAACAACCTCGTAAACACAATACTAGGAAGGTACAATGCTTCTTATTCGCCAAATCAAATAATTGCGGAATCTAACATGTCATCAATACGCGACCGGAAGAGCATACTTAGCCTGTCAACTGTCAAGTGACGTTCTTCCGTTTAAAGATGACCGCCGTTCAGAAACGCATGCGGGCGGCTGGTAAGCTACGCGCGTGCGCGGTTTGAACGCTAATCGATAGTGCACTACACAGAGACAACAGCCTGTTGGGCTCCGCAACTAACATAGAAAATTCGCGAGTTCGGTATTAAGAAAGGTTTTCTTTTGTGCGATTGAGGCTTAAAAGTTTGCCAAGGTGTCGGTATCTAGCAGCGTCTTGCCAGGGGCGATCACCATGAAGATGCTGGCACCACACGATGGTCCCGACATCAGTCCCATTGACTCATGTAAGTAAAACAATATTAATGCCCCTTAATAATGCACGATTATTGTCCGAGAGATAAGAATCTCGGGAATCATCATTCTTTGACTTGATGTGATGCAGTAATGAAGTGAATTAACTTATTAACAGTTGGTAGGATCAAATGACGCGTAATTTTCAACCAAGTTTCCTTCGAAAACATTGTTCACTTTATTACTAGGGTGTAATTTGCAAGGTACATATTACTACGACTAAGTTTTCATTGTTCTCTATTGAAAATATGAAGCTCCAGTATCAATCTTTTAGTTTTAAGTTCTTATGAAAACAGAACTTTATCCATTTATCGATCTTCCCAATTTCGATAGACAAATTGTCCTACAAGATTTTGAAATATTAATACTTGTGATATAAATTATATTTCCACTATGACGCAGTTTATGCTTATCCTCTATTTCATGATTTAAAGGTCTAATCGTAAACTTAATGGATGTGACTATAATTATTTGTGGTGGAGGTTTGATTTTTAGAACGAAAACCATTATTAGATTTAATAGAGATAACTCAAGTACCTATAATGATAACTGTTACTAGACTCACATGATATTGATTACAACTTTGACGATATTAAGAGAACTGAGAATTTATTTTGACAATCCTCGTAATATTATTAACTAGCGGCCACCCGCGATTTCGCCCGCATTCTTCGCCCGCACACCTGAGCAACTTTAGTTTTTTGAGAATCCCACAGGATCCTCAAACTTTTCCGGGATAAAAAGTATACTATATCTCAATCCAGGTACTGTCTCAATCCCATCAGTTTCTTTTGCGTGATTGAATACATATAACTAGTATGTGAAAGTACGTAAAAAAGGCTGCATGGATTTGGACGAAATTTGATACTGAATACTACGTAAATTGAGATAGGAAAAATGTATGGTTTTTGTGGAATTATAAAAAAACTACCCGTTTAAAACGTTCACGCAGTGGCGGCCGCTTGTATTTTAATAAAAAAAATCCATGAATTTTTACAAGAAATAATTCGCTTTTCCGCTATGGCGCCCAGCGTGGGGGTTTGAAGCAATTCATTACAAAATTAATGTGGAGTTATTGCCGACAGTTATTGACGCCGCCGCCTCACTTATAATCCCAGTAACGAGTTTAATTATTCCGTTTCAAGGTATAGCTTGAAATACAGCAGGATTCAGATAAAATCAGGCCTTATTTAACATGGCGCTTATCTAAAATACATATTTACATTTTGAATTAGATTCGATCTTTGTTATTTTCTATCTAAACATAGCTAAGTTAGTAATGTTTTGGTGTATCTATCTTTAATTATCTTTCTTATCGCCGTGTCCCGGGTGGCAAAGACAATCTATTTTATAAGTATCTATTCTCTCCTTTGGTCTACTTTAATGATATACCTCCACGTTATAAAAGACCACATTCAAATATCACTATCTCTTAGGCCGTTTGTTTTGTCACCATCGCTGGATCTTCTCCGAGTACAAATTATTTCTGTATGATATCAATATGACGTGACATGCATGCGATGGACCAGCTGTTCTTTAAATGTATGTTGTGTCGCTACTTCGGCGCCGTCATCTCATTCTCGTTGACGTTCCGGTGACGGCCGCGGTGAACAAACGACACAATATAACATAACCCATCATCAATTTGAAATGTACCTAATAACATAGATGAATGATTGGTCCAGACCAATCATTCATCTATGCCTATTAAGTAAATAAGTGTTAAAAAAAACGGCATTAGTATTGTGTTTTCTTTTAGTCGATGAGTAAGAATACCTAGGCTCTACCGGATTGACATTCTGACTGGCAAAGTGGATGCGTGAAGTGGTTCCTTTTATGGTGCTACAGTTATCTTCCCAACTGGACTCAACTCAAAACCGAGAAGCTGGCGAACAAAACAGTATAATTAAATAAAATATAATTTAACAGGAGCTGTAATAAACTGTATGACATACCTACAGTGAGTTTGGCATGGTTTTTTATTTATAATTTTATTAATTTTTTATTCTGTTTAAACGGCGGTTTTGGTTGAAAATGAGTTCAAATTCAAATTCAGCGGGCCCAAAACCTGCGGACTGTAAAAAGAAAGTAGTTTTACCAGATGCGTAATTATACCATTTTTTTCGCCAGCTCCTCTGACTAATACCACACCTTCAGAGGTGGATATAAAAGGTCTTCTCTTATTCATCCTTAAAGTTATCCATATAAGACACACCTATATAACGCTATTCATCGATTTCTTTCTTTAAATGTGTATGTAAATATCATTTCTCCTTTGTTTTGCAAGAAAAAAAGTTGACGTCTTAATTTATAAATAGCTACCGTGATCCTTCTTTGAAAATACCTGTCTGTCTGTTAAGAGTATTTTTATCCTTGGTTTATCTTACATTTGTCTTTATTGCGCCCCCGTTATATATTTTTCTCAGGCTCTTACTGGTCGACTGGTAGAGAATGCCTTATGGCATTATGTCCGCCATTCGCTGTGTTATTTAGCAATAAAGTTTAAATAAAATAAAAAAAAAAAAAAGACCTACCTATATATTTGAGAAACCCCTCACCCTCGTTTCCGTACGTAGTTTCCATAGCGTAGATGGCCATCAAGTTCAGCATAGCTAGCCCAGCTTTCCATCCAGAAGTTCAGTAGTCACCTGGGTCTCACAAATTTCTAAAGGGTGGCAATCAAGCATGGCCTGACTGATAGTCTGTAGTGGCCATAGGCTATAGACGCTTGGTACCAAAGCTATCATTCTCACCGTTGCCTACCCTTTTTTTGTGTCTGAGAAATGCTTTACGCATCCTTCAACCACTGGGGGAGCGAGAAGAAGGTATGTGGTGAAATAAACAGGGCCCTACCTAACGCCCTGAACAGGGCCACTAAAAACCAGACAATACTCCTGCACCGTCACCCGACACGCACTATGAGAACCGAGGTCCCCTAGTGCATGGCTTGTGCAATGCGTGTAATAAATGTAATAATGAAATAAACAAAGAGTACGCTTGGATTAGTTACTAAAGTACTCCATGTTTTGTCTCTGCCTATTGAATGAGAAATGCCATTTGAGTGATATGAACAAAACACGACGTAACTAGTCTAAGCTTATTCCTTGTTTATTAATAAGGGGGTAGGTGCCTTATCATTTATGAAATCTTTAACAGTATAGTAACCTTTCTTAAAACTTATTACAACGTCATCATCATCATCATCATCAGCCTATTCATGTCCCCACTGCTGGGGTACAGGCCTTCTCTGTGGATGGAAAAGGGAGATTGGACCATGACCCACCACGCGGGCCCAGTGCGGATTGGTGGGTGCTAACGATTGCGGATGCAACCGGGACCAACGGCTTAACGTGCCTTCCGAAGCACGGAGGAGCTTGAGATAGTAAATTTTTGGTCACCCATCCAATGACCGACCACTGCGAAAGTTGCTTAACTTTAACGATCGCAGCCGAACGAGCTAACCAGTTGCGCCAACAAGCTCCTCTATTACAACGTAAATTAATAATTCAATTATTTCTTCCCCTCTGAAGGTTCCTCGAGGATAAACAACAGATAGCGCACCATACTCGTAAATTCCAAGATGATTTCCAACCCGTTTCATCTGGTCATAGACATCCTCTGCAGAATTATATCTACCAAGCATGTTTAGTAAATAATTGTAAGTTTTAGTTCTATTAAAATCATATGGACGTAACGTATTTTGAGCAATTGCTTTTTTAAAAAGAGAGCATTCATATAAATTTTAATATTTATATGAAAACTAGCTGTCCCAGCGAACTTAGTACCGTCATAAAAAATAGGGTTGGTGGTAGAAGAGTGAAAATTTAGGGTTAAATGTATTTTTGTATGATCAATCATAAAAAAATATAAAAACAAAAGAAACACAAAAAAACTTGTTATCAAATTTGGATTGCGCATTGATTGATTTACATTATTATTTTATTTGAGGATATTAAACGACGACACTGGACTAAGAAAATACTCACAAAATTGTACCCCGGTAGGTTTCCATCACTTTTGGGTAGTATACGTTTAATTGGATTTCTACGCAGCAAATTTTAAACCGATCACCGCAAAGTAATGCAGATTAAAGAGGTGTTGACTGTTGGTATAAGAAATGTTGTGATGAAATGAAATGCCTCTCGTTTCGGCTTTATTAGAATGGTCATAAATTAAACAAAATGAATTTAAAAGGTTATTATTCTTTTTAAAATATTAAGGTTATAAGTTACATCTTTACCATTTTTTGTAGGAAGGCAGGTAGTGAGTTTAAATGCATATTCTAGGAAGACCTAATAACATAACATAAGTAACATAACTATATTTCGAAAGAATTAAATGTATACTTCTGAGCAACCACCACAAATTCAAAAGCACAATAAAAATAGGTTATAAATTTTAACAATTACATTGTACACGAAACATCTGAAACAATGATACTTCAACACCACTCTTTATGCTTACATTTCTCACGTTCACTGGGTCTTTACTTTGTGTAACTGAGGACGTCCCTGTATTAAAAGTACAAACAGGTTCGATATTTACAGTCACATTTGGCTGTTTTCCTGGTGAGATACTCTCGCCTGGAGACAGTTCAACCTCCCCCTGGGGAGTTCAAAGGCGGTGTGTAGTTGTGTTCGTCTACGTGCCGTATGAAAAAATCACTTGCAGTGCGAATAAAGTTCTTATTTCCTCGTAATAAAGGCCGAGACGTTGGAAAATTTCATCAATCAACTTTGCCAATCTTCTGAATGTGACGTGTGACTTCGGAGCCAAGTATTGTTTGTCTTCGGCAGATTTTTTCTAAGGATTTATTAAAAGTTAAAAAAAAAACTTATATCTATCTATTGGAATAGTATGCAGAGGAGTTAAATATAAGTTGGACAGTATAATACATCTGTTTTTTGTAGCTTCAGCATGGAAAACTGTGTTGCCAAATAGCCTCGTGTTCCGTAGTTATGATTAGAAAAATTTTGTAATCCAAATATGCAAG